GGGGCTCTCGTGTTGCTGGCATCCCCACCCCCACCTCCACCCCTGGTGGATTAGTAGCCCCATTGCAAAGACAGGAAAACTAAGGTCTAGAGAAGGCTGATGACTAATAGCAGAGTGCTTTCTGGATGCTGGTGGGGGTAGCGGAAGGCAAACCCTGCAGGGTTCTGGGGGTTCTCCCTCCCTGATCCAGGACAGGCTGGCCCTGGAGATTCCTTCCTGACCACCCCCCACCGCCCAGCCCTCACCACCAAAGCCCAGGTCTGGGCTCCCACCAGCTCAGGCTTTGGAGCCACATAAGGTGAGGGCTTGGGGGAGGCCACAGCCAGCTGGGAAGGTGGAGGAAGCACACGTGCCTGGACTGTCCTCACACTAGGGGCTGCTGTGTGTCTTACTGGGCCCTGGCTGGATCTGCTCAGAGGCTGCTGGCATGGACGGGGAAGTCAGCCTGAGCTCAGATCCCTGCCAGGCAGAGTCTGAGTCGATGGAGACTGAATTCTGGTGCCAGGGTGCCGGGCCTCCTGGTTCTGCTTCAGGCCCAGGCTGCAGGGCTGCTGGGGTGGGTGAGGTGCAAAGCGAAGGAGGTGGTTCCCCTTCACTCTTATCCATCTCCCCAGACCCTCTGAGCTGGGTACTGAGTCCAGGAGACAACAGATGTGGCTAGGGGAAGGAGCAGATTAGGGGCAAAGGTGAGATTCTGGGATGGGGCTCTGGTCCAATTTGGCTGTGACTGACTGTCCTCCTGAAGGACCCCTGGAGGGTGTCAACAGCGCAGGAGTGTTAACCACTGCAGGGATGATGGCACCTCCTGAGGTCCCATTGCCTTGGTGCTGGGAGAGACAGCAGAACAGGAGCCACCCAGGGCAGTCCCTCCATTTGACCTGCAGCATGAGCCTGCCCCAGAGCCAGGGCGGGAAGGGGCTTAGGAGTCGCAGGGCCCAGAATTGGCAGGGGAGCTATGGGAGTCCACACTCTGCCTTCACCCACTTCCAACCACTGACCTAGGATGGTTCCTCTCAGCTCTCTGAGCCTCAATAGCCCTGTCTGTAAAATGGGGATATGACAGAACATGACTTGGTGGTGGGAAGTTTTATTTCTTTCGCTTAAGGTTCCATGACTGTTGCTACAATGTGGTTCATGCAAGGCAAGATATTTAAAAATGGGTGGAGGAAAGTGAAATGAAGAATACCCTCCTTCCATGGAGGTAAAGGGAGAGAAAGCGATGTAGGAGAGAAAGAGGGCAGGCAAGCAGCAACGAAGCCCTCCGTCACAGGGCTGCAGTGAGGCTTAAACAAGATGAGGCTTATATGGCCCCTGGCAAAGTGCCTGGAGCACGGGGTGCTCCCATGTGGGGCTGCCCTTGCCCCTGACTGTCTCCCAAAGGCTCCCCTGGAAGCACAGCTGCACGTGGCCGCTCTCAGCCCTGGCTCCTTCTGCAAAGGCGGTGCTCCCTGCATTTGAATTGTGCGAGACGGAAGGAATTTCAAGATACAGAAACAAGCCCTCTGTGAGGGCAGCGGCGGGTCCTCACCTCTGCCTCCTGTGCCCTTTCTCTAAAGCATGCCCCTCAGAGGCCACAGGTGGTATCTGGGCTGCATGTGGAAGCCATGCAAATCAGCTGATTCCTGCCCACCAGCCACCCCTGCTAACCGAGTTGTTCTGTTTATTTCAGTGCTGTCACACCCAGTTAGCAGGGTCAGGAGCCACTGCATGCTGCCTCAAAGCTGCCTGCCCCCAGCTGGTCACAGCACCCCACTTTGGGGCTCTGGGTGCAGGGGTGGCCTCTGAGGTCAGTCTCAGAAGCCCAGTCTGGTTCTGGCACCTGAATGCCCAGCCTTCAGTATCTCACCAGCCTTCTGAGCTTACCCCAGACAGCTCATGTGGCCTGTAGGCTGTGGGTACATCTCACTGCTGAAGAAAACATCAGAAAGCACCTTTGCTGGTGTTTTTTTTTTTTTGACAGGGTCTCATTCTGTCACCCAGGCTGGAGTATAGCAGTGCAATCATAGCTCACTGCAGCTTTAGTCTCCTGGGCTCAAGGGATCCTCCCACTTCAGCTTGCCAAGTAGCTTGGATTACTGGTGTGCACCACCATGCCTGGCTACTTTTTGTTGTTGTTGATGTTTAATAGAGACGAGGTCTTGCTATGTTGCCCAGGCTGGTTGTACACTCCTGAGCTCAAGCAGTCCTCCCACCACAGTCTCCCAAAGTGTGGGAATACACTGCTGGCTACTGTGCAGCTCTTTGGCCTTGGCCAAGCCCCTCCCCTCTCTGTGCCCTTGTCGCCTATTTCAACCATGAGGTGACTGAAGTGCACAGAGAGACAAAGTGATCTAGTGAAACAAGCAGGACAGACATGGTCCAAACCCCGTCTGAGTCGCTGAGCCATGCAGCCCAGGAGACGGTGCTGCACATCAGACCCCACATCTGTGAAACGGGGCAGTGACGGCATTCAGGGCTGCTGCAAAGTTGAGAAACGACAAGGAACTCATGACAGAGCAGGAGCCCAGGGGAAGACTGCTACTGCTATTGATGCCAGGGACCCTCCACGGTTCCCTGTTTCCCTTGTGAGCCTCTTGAGGGGAGAAACAGCCTCCTTCCTGTTCACCTCTGGAACCCCAAAGGCTGGCACAAGGCTGGGCCCCATGGGAAATGATTGGGGAGCAGTTAACTGTCCAAAGGATGGTGAGCCTGCTGTGTAGGCCAGCAAGGTGGCCACTGCAGAATGAGCCCCAGTGGGAGGTGGAGGGAGGGGCCAGGGCAGGGCAGGGGTGAGCTTGGCCAGCCATTGATGGGCTGGGGATGGGAGCACACGTTTGAATCATAGGCAGAGGCCTCCCTAACTGTCGCTGTTACTGGACACTAGTACTCTGTCCCCCATCAGAAAGCCTGCCCATCTCTATAATTCCTCATAAGAGTTGGGCTATATCCAAAGGCATTGAATCTGCTGGGGCAGGAACAGGGCACAGCAATGCCTTGAAATGATGAATTCATCTTATCAATCCATCTGTCCACTAGTCCATCTGTGAATCAAATGATTCATCCATTCATCAATCTATGCATGTATCCATCCATCCATCCATCCATCCATCCATCCATCCATCCATCCTAAATGAATCAATTCATCCATCTGTCTGCTTGCCAACCCACCCATTCATCCATTCACCACTTTATCCACCACTCATCCATCCCTTCATTCATCTACCTATCTGCCCATTCATCCAGAAGTTAATTTATCCAGCCACCCACCTATCTGTTTATTCATCCATTTATCCATTCATCATCTATACATGTCCACCCACCCACCCATCTAACTATCTGCCCATATGTCCATCCATCCATCCATCCATTCCCTTACGTATCCATCTATCAGTCCACCCCTCTCCTCAGCCCACCCAAAATAGTTGGGCCCCACTCTGAGCTGGATGCTATGCTGGATTCTGTGATTTTGAAATGAATATGGCACATCCTCTGCCCCCAAGGAGCTCAACCTGGTGGGAGACCTGATGTATTCCTACAGGGCCCATAGCTCCAGAGAGACAGAGCAGGGTAGGTGAGATAGCTGGGTGCACAGGAAGTGTTCTAGCTCAGGGATGGGGTACAGATGCTCAGAAGGGCCCCTGGGGTTCTGGGCAGCTGCTGAGCAGGAATGAGCTGATGTGCAGGGCTCTCCACGTGGAGCTTGGATGTGCCAGTCATCTCTGAGAAGGGCATGTTGCAGAGAGGAAGCACTGGTTCTCCCAGTACCAAGAGGCTGAGAAGGGACAAAGGCAGCTGAGATAGAGGCTGTGAAGAGACATGGTCAGCAGGGTGCAGAGGGCGGGGGTTGGTGAATGTCAGCAAAGGCTACAACCAAGGTGAGGGCAGGAAGGGATGGCTGTGTGGAGAGGTGAGGGAACCACAGCCCCTACCGGCCCGAAGTCTGCACAGCCGACACATCCATCATCTCAGCTTGTGCAGACATGCTTGCCTTTCTCTTCTGATTAGGTTACAGGATGCCTGAGAATCAACAACCCCCAGCCAGCCGAGGCTGCCTTCTAGGGCAGCTGTGGAGCAGACAGATGTCAGCACGGAGCTGTGTCTGACCGAGGGTGTGGGAGGAGGGGCATGGAGCATGCAGGGAGCTCTGGATGGCCCAGGGGACATCCGGGCAGGTTGCTCACACTCACAAATGCACCACTGCCTGGCTGAAAGGCAGAGCCCTCTATGTGTGTGCATGCATGTGTGTGCCAGGGCAGGTGAGGGAGGGTGGTGTGGGCTCTGGCATGTGCTGGCTGAGTGTGCATTAATTATAATGCCCATTTTATAGATGAAGGGAGGTGAAGCAGCAACTTAAGGCTGTATAGTTTGTAAGTGACGCAATGGTGACTGAGCTGTGTGCCATGCTATGAGGGGCTTCTGGTGGGCTCTGCCCAAGCTAGACCCAGGGAGGGCCAAGGAAGTCAGGTGCACCCTGACCCCTGGTGCTATGGAGCTGGGTGCCGAGAGGAAAGAGGGTGAGAGCAGGTCTTGGCAGGGTGATGTGCCTGCCATGTGGAGGGTCTCATGCACAGGAGGCATGAGTGTCTCATTGCGGGGGCAGGGCCACTGCCAGCTGAGCAAAGGGTGGGAGAAACGGGGTGAAAGGCAGAGCTAGGAGAGAACCCTGCAGAACCCTAAGTGGGAGGAGGGAGGGTGGGGGAGGAGGGAGTCTCGGCGTCTGGTTTCTATTCTGCCATGGTGAGCAGAGGTGCGTAACGGGCTTTTGGGAGAGCCATTGGGGTTGGGTTCAATCCATAACAAGTCTTCAATTTCCTCTCCACAGACCCCGCACGGACTTCAAGATTGCTCTGCTCGATGCTAATAAGAGGACACACACCCCTTGTTCTCGTGGAATAGCCTCAGTTCTACTGGGCAGGCACCTTGGGGAGGCTCTGTCTGGGCCCTGGCCCTCAGGGAGGGAAGGCTGGGTGGGGAGGGGCCTGTGAGCTCCACCTGGCTGGAACCCAGGGGCCAGCAGCCCATGCTGGTTGCCTGAGCTTCTTGCTAAGCTGGCCTAGGCCAGGGGCCCGAGCCCCAGCACTCCCTTCCCTGTCACATATTGAGGACAATGGCCACCACTGCCATTAGCTGATCACCCACCACACACCAGGGCTGGGCTACGTGTCTCACTCGTAACATCCTCACATCATCCTACGAGGTGGGCCCTATTTGACACATGGGGAAACTGAGGCTCAGAGAAATGGAGGACTAGCTTGAGATCCCATCGTGGGTCCATAGAATAATGAGGACTTGGGTCCAAGGCATCTGACACCAAAGCCCGTGCCCCTCTCGCTGTACCTGGTCCTTCCTGGAGTGAATAACGTTCCTTGGTAACGTTAACAGGGAAGCTACCAGCCTGGGCTGTGGGAGGTGGGCCCAGCGGTTGGGCGCGTCACTCCTGACCACCGCTTGGGGGCGCCCCTGTGAAAGGTTCCCCACCTCCCCGCAGTCCAAATAGAGGAACTCCTGGGCAGCCTGTCTCCTGGGCTTGGTGTGAGCTTCGGCAGGGTGGGGACCATGGCACTCTCTGCAATGAGGTCTTCCCAGCACCAGAGGGGCTGAGTGGCCTCAGGCTACCCACTGCTCTTCTCTGTACTTGTTTCCTTTCCTGTAAAACGATACGATTTCCTAGGACCTCTTCCCTTGTGGCTTTTTTTTTTTTCTTTTTTAAAAAATAGAGATGGGGTCTCACTATGTTGCCCAGGCTGGTTTCAAACTCTTGGCTTCAAGTGATCCTCCTCCCTTAGCCTCCCAAAGCGCTGAGATTATAGGTATGAACCACTGGGCCCAGTCTATAATGGGTTCTTCTTTTTAAATAAATTAGTAAATATTTTTAAATTTTCTCAGCTTTAATTTTTCTTTCTTTCCTCTTTTTTTTTTCCCCTCCGAGACAGAGTCTTGCTATGTTACCCAGGCTCGGCTCAAACTCCTGGGCTCAAGCAATCTTCCTACCTTGGCCACTCAAAGTTCTGGGATTACAGGCGTGAGCTGCCACACCCAGCCTGTGACTTTTTTTTATTTTTTTATTTTTAAGAGAACAACTGGAGCAAAGGGGTAGGGAGCTTAGTTCTAGGGAGGGAGGTGGTGGGAGGGAGATGGAAGTGCCAGTGCATCACTGCATCCTTGCACATAAACAGAGCCCAGAGAGGCCACAACACTGGCCCAATGTCACACAGCTGGGAAGGGTGTGCAAAGGGACAGGGGAGCATTGGCACTGAAACCCAGGCAGGTGATTCCAGCATTAGGCTGGTCGGTGCCAGCATGCCAATAACGGCCTCGATAGGTAGGTGGTCAGGAGGCCCTGCCATCCGCTCCAGCCAGCACCCGCCGGATGCCCTGTTGCTATAGCATAGGTGTGCTGCTCTGTCCGCCCCATCTGTCCCGCCCTCAGAGTGTGCCTTGCCCCACACCCACCTGCTTGATGCACTGCAGTCGGTCATTGGTCTGCTGGATGTGCCTGTCCATAGAATTCATTCTGGCCGTTTCGCTGGGTTCTACCCGAGAGCCATGAACGTTGTCCAGCCTGCGAAGAGAAAGGAGAGGGTGTTATTGGATCATGCCAGGCCTGCCGACCTTGCACCAGCCTCCCAACTGCCCTCTGGCCACAACACTGGTAGGTTCCAGAGCCCTTTGCTGGGCCCTGTGGGGCTGCACCTGGGGTACCTCACTGGGCTGAGGGCAGGAAAATGTTCCAGGTGCTTTCCATGTGTGGTACATGTGAGCACTGGGCAGGCATGCCCACATTTCTTTTCTTTTCTTTTTTTTTTGAGATGGAGTTTCGCTCTTGTCACCTAGGCTGGAGTGCAGTGGTGCGATCTCGGCTCATTGCAACCTCTGCCTCCCAGGCTCAAGCGATTTTCCTGCCTCAGCCTCCGGAGTAGCTGGGATTACAGGTGTCCGCCACACACCTGGCTAATTTTTGTATTTTTAGTAGAGATGGAGTTTCACCATGTTGGCCAGGCTGGTCTCGAACTCCTGACCTCAGGTGATCCGCCCACCTCAGCCTCCCAAAGTGCTGGGATTACAGGTGTGAGCCACCACTCCCAGCCAGTTGCACACATTTCTGTACGTGCATGTGTGTTTTGGTTGGTGGGAGGGGTGGCAATTCCCCTTGGATTCCTGGTTCAGGGCTTGGCCCGTGTGTGTGTGTGTGTACGTGTGTCTGTGTGTGTGTACGTGTGTGTGTGTGTTCATACATGTGCAGGGGGACCTTCCCATATGATGACCTTCAGTGCACGTGTGCTCTGAGTGGAGAGCTCAGGTGGCATCTGCCCTCCCCCAGTCCCTCAGGCTTTAGAGTTCTTCATAATTTACAAACCACTCACAACTGTTTTTTTCACTTTGCCCTCTTGGAAAAGGAGGATAAGAATGAGCACCACAGCTATTTTCTAGATAAAGAAACTGAGGCTGAGAGACAGAAAGAGAAAAGCCAGGGTGGCACAGCAAGTGGTGTCTGAGCCCACACCAGGAACCAGGGTTCCTGACTGCCAGCCCGCGGTTTCCATTGTGCAAGGCTGACAGTGCGGGTGCAGGGATGGCTTGGCACTAGGCTCACCCTTCCTGAAGTGTGGGAGAAGGGAGCGTCAGGGCCATTAACATGAATGGGACTTCCCTCTGGATGACAGAGCTAAGTGGAGGAAGCTCCCTCGGCTTGAAATAGCCCCAGGAGTCCCCAGGCCGCTCCAGGGAGGCCACACAGCAATGGCAGAAATCTAGGTAGAGAGAGGAAGGACTGTAAGGCCCTAGTCCACCCACTGCTCAGGGATCCAGGTTCTTGGGCCAAGTCAGAAGTCTGCCCACTGCCAGCTCAGTTTGCCCTCCTGCCCCCAGGGGACAGTTCAGGCTGCAGACATCTGCGTCAGACCCAGGGTGCTGGACAGGAGACCTGGAGCCCTAAGCCTTCTCTGCTACTCTGCCACACTCCCCACTAAAGACCCCTCATCTCTGGCCATGTCACCCTGGACTTTTCATGTGCTGGACACCTGCATTCTCTCCTTTCCTCTTCACACCCACTCTGTAAGGCTAGGATCATCTCCATTTTACAGGTGAGGAAACTGAGGTCCCCAGATGTGCCAAATCCTCGCAGCTGGTGGAAGTGTAGGTGTGTCTGCCTGCCTGTCTGCTTTCTACATACGCTCGTTGAGGGAACCAACACCATTGCCCGGCCCCAGCCTTTGGAAGAAAGTCCTGTTCCTCCTCCAATTGCTTTAAAGGATGTGTAGCTCTTGCTGCAATTCTTATTGCTCCATGTGTGTCTGAAAAGGTAATTCATTTGCATGGTTCAAAAATCAGAAAGTCCACAAAGGTATCCAGTCCTGGGTCCAGGCCCTGTCCCCAGGCCCCTGGTGCCTTTTCTAGGAGAACCAGTGCCATCAGTCCCCCTTCTGGAGCGTCTCATCTAGAAGCAAATATCTACACGCACTTTTTCTTGCCACATTTTTAAAAACAGAAAATAACATTACACATTATTTGGACGTCGCTTTTTTCTTCCTCTTGATACATCTGAAAGTTTATTCCACATCAAGACATAAAGAGCATCTTTTTTTTCTTTTCTTTTTTTTTTTTTTTGAGACAGTTTCGCTTTGTTGCCCAGGCTAGAGTGCAGTGGCACAATCTTGGCTCACTGCAACCTCCGCCTTCCGGGTTCAAGCGAGTCTCCTGTTTCAGCCTCCCGAGTAGCTGGGACCACAGGCGCTGCCACTATGCCTGGCTAATTTTCTTTTTTTTTTTTTGGAGACGGAGTCTTGTACTTTCACCAGGCTGGAGTACAGTGGCGCGATCTCGGCTCACTGTAAGCTTCGCCTCCCAGGTTCATGCCATTCTCCTGCCTCAGCCTTCTGAGTAGCTGCGACTACAGGCGCCCGCCACCACGCCCGGCTAATTTTTTGTACTTTTAGTAGAGACGGGGTTTCACCATGTTAACTAGGATGGTCTCGATCTCCTGACCTGGTGATCTGCCCACCTCGGCCTCCCAAAGTGCTAGGATTCATGTGCCACCGCACCCGGCCACACTTGGCTAATTTTTTGTATTTTTAGTAGAAATGGGGTTTCACTGTGTTAGCCAGGATGGTCTCGATCTCCTTACCTCATGATTCGCCTGCCTTGGCCTCCCAAAGTGCTGGGATTACAGGTGTGAGCCACCGCGCCCGGCCACCTTTTCATTTTTTAATGGCTGCACAGTATTCCTAGGTATGATGAAGCATCATCCAACTAACATGGGTCCATTGACCCTCTGCCAGGTGCTGTTCTAAGGCTTGAGCCCGCAGACAAGGCCCCTCTGCTCAGGGGGCTCACACTCCAGCCTGAAACGAGGGACCCTGAACCTGTTTCCAAATTTTTCTTTTTCTTTCTTTTTCTTTCTTTTTGAGACTGAGTCTCCCTCTGTCTCCCAGACTGGAGTGCAATGGCATGATCTTGGCTCACTGCAGCCTCCGCCTCCCGGGTTCAAGTGATTCTCCTGTCTCAGCTTCCCAAGTAGCTGGGATTACAGGCGCATGCCACCACGTCTGGCTAATTTTTTTTATTTTTAATAGAGATAGGGTTTCACCATATGGGCCAGGCTGGTCTCAAACTCCCGATCTCAGGCGATCCGCCCACCTTGGCCTCCCGAAGTGCTGGGATTACAGGCGTGAGCCACCGTGCCTGGCTCCAAATTTTTATCATTGCAGTGCTGCAGGAATAACTGTTCATACCGGCACATCACACGTGTGTGAATTAGTCTAGAGAACATACACTCAGAAGTGGACTTGCTGGGTCATCTGGGACTCTGTACTTCGGTAAGTGCTTTCTGGAGCTCTCCAGCAAGAAGGGGAAAGTGGGGGTTGTGCGCATACTTATTTCTTCCACCGTCACCCTGCCAACCATCCCTCCATTCATCCCACCCGCCGCCCAATTTCTCTACCCATCATTTATCCATCGAAATACCTGCCTGGGGAAGGAGGAGGAGGGTGATAGAGCACCCAAAAAGAAAAATTTTAAAAATAACAATAATAAAAACAAATGCCCGCCTGTTCACCTGTCTACTCATCCATTCAAACATCTTTAGTCTCCACTTGCTCATTCGTACATGCTTACGCTCTCCCAAGAAATGCTCTTTGTTTTGTTTTGTTTTGAGACGAGTCCGTCGCCCAGGCTGGAGTGCAGTGGCGTGATCTCGGCTCATTGCAAGCTCCACCTCCCGGGTTCACGCCATTCTCTTGCCTCAGCCTCCCGAGTAGCTGGGACTACAGGCGCCTGCCACCACGTCCAGCTAATTTTTTGTATTTTTAGTAGAGACAGGGTTTCACTGTGTTAGCCAGGATGGTCTCCATCTCCTGACCTTGTGATCTGCCCACCTCGGCCTCCCGAAGTGCTGGGATTACAGGCATGAGCCACTGCGCCCGGCCGAAATGCTTTTTAATAACGATACCATGCAGGGTCCTAGGCTAGATGGATTGGGCGTGCAGAGATTAAAATGAAATCATCTTCTTGTGTTCAAGGAACTCTTGGTCCAAGCCCATATTTACCTATTAGATGACCATGTGCTGAGCTCCTACAAGTCAGGTACTGGTCCAGGCAGAGCACAGGTAAGAGAATGTAGTTACATCCCCATTTTACAGATGAAGAAACTGAGGCTTGGAGATTACAGCTTGTTGGGTAGGAGCCAGCTCAAGAATCCTGGCTTTCCCTTTACAATTTTCACTCTTGAACAGGTCCTGGGGAGGCGGTAGGATACAGGTGTGCGTGTGTGTGTGTGTGGTCTGGGTCGGCAGGGGTGTGATCAGGGCAGCTCCGCTTGCTACTTCTGTAGGTCACCCAAGCAGGAGCTGAATATGTCCTCCTGAGTTTACCCACATAGACCCTCAGCCAGCATCCACATGACAAAGGCTCCTGGGGCCAGGGACAAACCATGGTGGGGAAGACAAGGACACAGAAAGCCCAGAGCAGGAGCAAGACACTGCCACCTTCAGCAAGGCCATCTCAGTTCCTGGTGCCAGTCCCCATCACAGCCAAAGGACCCTGGTGGTCTCCCAGGCACCACGTGATACCCCTGCAGCGGTGAAGGCCTGGGTCCCATGTGGGGGCATGGGTGAACACTGGTAGCCAGGGTTCCAATAGAGAATTCAACTTTCACAGCCAGCCAGGACAGGGAGACCCATCCCACAAAGGCCTGGGCTGGCTCAGCTCCTAGCTGGAGGAGATGGAAGAGAAGTACAAAGAAACCCCATGCCTGGCAGGCCTTCATCCCCCTGTCAGCAGGCCACTGACCACCAGGACAAAGGGCCACCGGTGGCCCAAGCAGCCAGCAGGGGGCGCTGTTGACAAACCTAAGTGACCTGGGGGCCAGACCTGAGCACCATGGAGGTTCTAGGTGTGCTTCCAGGCCCTCTGTCCTCTCCCTCACTCCAGTGAGCACCCAGATGTCCCCAGCCAGGATAGACTTTGAGTGGGTTTCTCCGGTTTCATGGCCTTGGTTTCCCCATCAGCAGAACAGGATGCTACAGAGGGGCAACTCAGTGACCTCATAAGGGTCTACTTCTCAAG